CCCCCTTTTTTTTTTTTTTTTTTTTCCCCTTCCTCTTTATATAAACCAGGGACCATAGAAAAAATTGTCATTTCTGAAAGCTCAAACATGATAGTTACATATAAGTACCAAACAGAAATCTTGAAACAGCAACTTTTAAAATCACTTCTGATTCAGTGATGATTGTTCTGGATCAGACAAAAAATTTCATTAACAGTTTTTATTTTTTAGTGACCCCAAGCTTGCTTGAATTGTTTCACCTCAGCATCTGGAAATGGAAACAATTGCATGACTGAGACAAGCTCACAGGGAGACACGGAAGCTGGGGAGAGGATCACCTGCCCTGTCCCCAGTATTTCCCACAATAGAGCATGGCTTGTCTCTGGTTACCTATACCCTGTCCTGCCATGCACTGAGGAACATGAGAAAGGCCAGTGCGTGGAAGGAGAGGAAGTGACATTGTGAGTGGGAAGTATTAAGGATCTCATAGCTGTAGTAAATTCTGCACAGACAGTACAGAGGTACGAAAGCACATAAACAAATTCATCTCTTAACAGTGAAGGACACCAGTAAGTTGCTGGGGAATCCAGGCTGATGGGATGCAATGGATGGTTGAAAGACAAGTATCACTCAGATATCTGCTATGGAAGATCTAAAAGGACAAATCAAGGAGAAAAAGGAGTCAGTGATCTTCCATTAGGAATTAAAATTACAGTTTACTTCGGGAAGATGCAAAGTTCCTGTACTAAACTGTTTCCCCTCTAGTATGGAGAGCAGCACTGGACACTGCAGCACAGGGTCGCAGAGTGGAAGAGAGGGTCTGAGCATCATACGCGGATGAGCTCTGTAGCAAGGAAGAAATGGAAAAGAGCAAGTAGGGGGTGGCTATGGTGTGGTTCTGGTTTGGAGGGCAAACTTCCCTTGTGCTGGGCTGAGTAATTCCTGCGCAGGAGTAGCAGCTTTTGGTCAAGTGGTTATTTTGAACCGGGGATTGGAAAGCATATTTTTTATAGAGTTCCAGCTTGGGTTGCTCAAAGATTTCAACACAACGGTACAGATTTGGTTCTGGTTTCAGGAGAAACAATGGTTTGAGACAGTTTTTTGGGTTGGGTTTACACTTGGCTTAATTCAGCACATAGCAAGGATGGCTGTCTTTGTAGCATGGTCAAGTCTTATAACAGAAATAAGAAGTTGCTGAGTTCTCCTGTCTCCCCACCCCTTTTCCTCCCAGCTGAGTTCAAAGAAGTAGAGGTAATTCGCAAGCACACCCACCAACAACCCCCAGGTTGTGAACCGATCGGCTGGAAGACTGAGCTACTTTCATCATAACGTGTGGTGGCAGAACATTATAGGAAAAGCAATGTAGCTTCTTCCCGTATTGCACCAGTGCATAAAAGACTTCACTTTTCAGAGCTGTCAGTCTGTCATTTTCAAGAACCCTACTACATGCAGTGAATTATTTCTTTTCTCCCCTAAGACAAAGACTATGCAGTTAAATTTCTATGTTTTCTGACTTAAACATTTTCTTATCTTTTCGTGGCTAAAACTAAAATCTTCTATGATTTTAGTTTTTTAATTTGCATTCTCTAGAATTTGGAACAGAACATAGTTCCTCAGACTGTGTTCATTTCTCAGCCAGCAGGGTGACATTTAAACTTGTCTTAAAAAGAAAAGAAAGAAAAAAGTGTCAGACTCAGTGATATTATGTTCTTGTTCTATCTATGCACCTTTCCCTTCCATTTGCCATGTGCTTATCTTTTCCGGGTTGCTGAGCCAGCTGTAGAGCCTGCAGGTGGAAAGTGCTGTTCTGTAGGATGACATAAGGGCACCTGAGTTAGAAAGCTGCCCCCTGAAGCTGTGCTGGAAGTTACCATCCCAGGTGTCTGTTATCAAACTGCAAAAGCTTATCTTAAATATGGGTGGTTTGCTGATATCTTGGGGCACTTTGATGCAATAGTCCCTGTCAATCAGCACAGGAGAAACACTGGGCAGCCTTTATGTTTGTAAGTGTGTCACTCTTGCTGCCACTGTTAAGCATTTATGATTTCTTCTAAGCTATTCTCCATGTATCTTAGGTTTATTTTCATCATTAATACAGAAACTCCTGTTCCGAATGTGAATTTCTTCAGTGCAGCTCCTTCTAGTGTGTTATCTTACACTCCAGTTTTGGAGGCACCCTCAATTCATTATCCTTTGTTACTTTTTAGGCAGAGAATACTTGTGCCAATAGAGCTTTTTTTAACTGGGACTTGATTTTCAATCTTTATTTTCGTCTGTTCAGATGTGACAGACCTGTTTATACCAACAGAGAGAAAGCATGCAATAAGCTAATGCTGAAATAATTGCAAATTGCCATCCCAGTGGCTCTACCAAGAGATGGCCACAAACCATGTGTTTTGTCAGGTCTGTAGTATTTTCAGGTCAAAAAGAAAATTGCTCGCTTGTTTAAAAAGAAAGAACAACTTTACATTTTTGAGATGTGGCTTGTCCTGATTGGTGTTTAAACTAGCAGTGCAAATGCTGTGGGTCAAATATCTTAAAATTGAGACAAAGAAAAAAGTAAGCCTGTATATTTATGACAGCGCACAGTATTTCAACTTTTAAAAGGCAGTGTGTGTATTTGGTGGTCATACCACTGGCAGAGTTCTGTTACTAACTAGATTAAAACAGAGAAAATAGTCTTTCAGTAGAAGCACAGGATGAAGAATCTACTTTTAACTGAGCCAGGGGCCAGTTCTTACAGGACAGATATTTGATAGATGCATTATAATATACAGGTTATTTATCTTTCTTTGTACTACTGTGGAAATCCGTTTCTTAGTCACATTTCCGTTGCCTGCTTCCCAGAACAGAGATGCTGAATGAGGATCCTCCAGGGATACAAGGGTGGCATGGGCAGAGGAATGGTTGTCCTGAGAGACTTCCCAAGAAAGCATCTGTGTCCTGAAACACAGCTTGGCAGATCTACTGGCTTGTGGTAGGGCCCTAGGGATGTACAAAAAGGCAAACTGCAGAGGGGAGGGGTAGCTATATAGAGATTAGAGAACTCGGAAAACGCTCCCTAATTCCAGACCACACAGCCAGCAAATGGGCTTCTTGGCCTTGCTTGTCATTTACGGTCTAATGTCTATGTTGTTGTGCGGTGGGTAGTCATAATTCTAAACGCAGTGATGGGCCTGTGAGGAGTTGGCCCAGTTTTGAAGAGTCTTGCTCTTTTTCTTCTTTCAGAGAAGATTAAAATCACTTCATATCCTATTTTCATTTTGCTCTTCCATGGAACACTTCATCTAAGAAGCTTTCTTCTTTTCTTGCAGTCCTCATTCCATCCCAGATCGCCTGCGGATCAGAGTGAACAGGATTAATTTACAAGAATATGAGGGGCTACATTACGACAAGGAAAAACTCCGGGAAGCTTGTAAGTTGGAAGAAGCCAGGTTGTAGCTGCTTTTGGTAGAACATTCTGTATAAATCTTACATTAGCAAAAAAACCCCAAATCAACAACAACAACAAAAAAAAACCAAACACAGGGTCAAGCATACATTTTTGGATGAGTCACGTAGAGTGGATATCTATCTGTGTATATGCACATACATATTCTCTCTATATAAATATTCTCTCTATAAAAAGCATATATAGAGAATTAATCTGTTTTCTTACTTAACTGCCTTCTGCTAGTTGATTTTGTTTACTGTAAAATGTGTTTTTCACACCTTTTTTTTTAATTCATGTCTTTCTGTTGGTTCTGCTGGGTTTGTACTAGTGTATGAAACTATTCAGGATTTTATGATTAGCGTTACATTTGAAACTGAGTGTGGGGGGACCATGATTAATTTCATACTGAGAATGTGCTCTGACGTTGAACGTGGTTCTTGCACAGGTGCATTTATCTTGGGAAACAATTCTGGCTTCCCCAGCCCCTTATTCTTTAACAGCCTTCAGTTTTCCACATAAGAGAATAATCACTGTTTTGTTTCCCCATATAATGGTTTAATTGCCATATTCAGGGGTAAGTCAAAAGCAGACAGCCGGTTGCTTTGGCAACATTGATGATGACGATGCATACTTAAAAATGGAGTTCCTTTCCTTGGTGACACATGGAATCATTAATCAATGAGGGACATGGCTGCTTGTTCATGCATCTGGCTCATTATTCATATTCAATTGCAAGCATGACTGTTTGTTGTGCAACAAAGCTTCAGCTCCCTCTGTAGTACAGAGCTCTCTGGTAATTACAGGATGACAATCCTTTCAACTGGTTTGCTTATCTTACTGTTGAAAGATAGTTAAACTGTTTCACTTTCACTCCTCTAGTCCCACCACTCCTTATTCTCCCAGTTCATCAGGTCTCCTTCCAACAGAAGAACTGAAATGGCTTAAATTTTACTATATGTCCTGACAGCCTTTTTTGAAGTTTGTTAGTGGATTTTGGTCATAATTAAAGCAATCAAAGTCTTCATCCCCGGACTGAGAAGAATTTTAACAGGATGAGGATCATGGCTTACTGGAGAGGAATTTGCTTCTAGTTTAAATTGAGAGTTTGACTTTGAGTAGACTTCAGGCCATATTGAACCCACATTTATCCAACCCTGTCAGAAACAATCTGGTTCATTTGATGGTTCGTCCTATGGGTTCCCATCTGAGGAGAACTATCCTCATCCATCCTCACTATGGACATAAATTTTATATGTGTGTATTTAGTATATGTTATGTAGTCCTTAAGAGCCATTTACATGCTCTTACACAAAATATACAACTTTTTACATTGTTGTCACTGCAATTTCCAACCCTGTCAGAAACAATCTGGTTCATTTGATGGTTCGTCCTATGGGTTCCCATCTGAGGAGAACTATCCTCATCCATCCTCACTATGGACATAAATTTTATATGTGTGTATTTAGTATATGTTATGTAGTCCTTAAGAGCCATTTACATGCTCTTACACAAAATATACAACTTTTTACATTGTTGTCACTGCAGTTGTAAGTGAGTATTTATGTTGTCACCTGCAAAAAACCATACTGATAACTTTATAAAAAATGCCAGAGAGTGATCTAGAACCTCTGAGATTTGGTTTTAGATTACACACGCATTTGATCACTTGCTGGATGTGTGCTTAAGAGGTTTTCATTCAAAAAGTAGACATTTGTCCATCAAGAGTTAAAATGATTGCTTTCAGGCATTGGCAGGCCATTTGCAGTAAGACCCTTTTGTCTCTCTTTTAAGTTGCTGCATGGCCAGCTTGATAATATAACATAGGTGGACTGGAGTATTCTCCCCAGACATTTTTCATGAAGTTGTTTTTTCCATCTGTCCTCTTTTAGCTGTCTCAGTAATGCTTGTGCCTTACTGTTTTACATTAAAATATGAGAAAGCAAATAATATCCCCATCAACCTAAAATAAATCAGAAAAGATACCTCACCTTACCCTTTGCAGTTATTAGGAGTGTCCCATGTAAGAACATGTAACTTACAGCATACACTGATGGTCATCAGCCTACTTCTCTGGACATATAGCTTAAGTGTCTCCTGTCAGAATTGTCCAACCTCTAGTTTTCAGGAGGCTGATCTTGATTTGAGGACTTCTGGGTGATACTAATTACGACTGAAGGAAATTATATATGGGAAGAGAAGTGCTCTCTAAACAGTCAGAAACCAAACTGTTTTAAATATTCTAGCCAGCTCCTTGAATTCCATGAAGTAAAAAATGGAAAATACCTGGGAAAATACTGAGCACAGACCTAACGTCCCAGTTTTCCTGTGACTTTCTGCAAGATGCTTTCATCTCTTCTGGAAACTGAGGCATAGCCAGTCATCAAGCTGCATTAGAGGACTACATAACTTAAGTTTTTATGAGGAAGGAAGCTGGAAAATCACATAAATCTTCCTTTTAAGAAGAGCAGATAGACGTTTTAATTGCATTTCTGACATAGCTAATTGTATACATTTTAAATGGTTTTCTGGTGGCAGGTCTATGGATTGCTGCCTGCCTGTCTCTATCGTATGCTAAATACTTATGTGAAATAAGCGTGCTGACTACGTGCTCATCCAGCAAATCACCTCATGGAGCATTGTCATTAAAAGTTAGTTGGCTAAAGGGGGAGGAGGGGATTGCTGAGGGAGGAGAAGTGACTCTCCTTCATTACCAAAGAAAATGATTATGGGGGGAGGAGAGTGGAAATAAATAAATTTCCATGGCAGGTGAATAACTGAAATTTTGTCAGTCTGAATGAAAAACTTAAATGCAGATAATACTTGTGCACTAGCAAAATACAAGAGCACTTGTATTGGGCCCTGTTTCTACGAGGCCTGTCACTGTCAGTGAGGTCAGCTTCCTTCAGCATGACTGTAGCTCTCAGGCGCATGTATGTCTCACTAGATGCTAGCAAGAGACTCAGTTTACATATCTGTCCAGGCTTTGGCAGAATACCTACAACTTAGTTCCAGAATACTATACTTACTATGCATTCCCTGCCCACAAGGATTAAAAGCGCTTTTACCTCCCTAAATCATTTGAAAACCAAACCAGAATCTCACAGCAATCTGAACAGGAAAAGAAAGCCAGTTAATAACGAGTCATGCTGTTATCCCTGAAGGAAAAACAGCAAAGAAGCTATTATGGGTTTTTTCCTGTTACATGTCTCCATAATAGAGTTTTGAAAGCTCTGACATCAGTGTAATAATCTGGATCATTTTAACTCACAGTAAATACATTTCGTTCCCCTTGTTTGCTTGAAATACTGATTTGATTCTATCAACTACTTCACCTAAAATTGCACTTCCTGACATATAACAACTTGTCATACAAAACTGTTCCATGAAGATTAATCTTCACTCTGCTGGAGGTAGACACCTCATTTTGAAAACCTCCTGAGCAATTAAAGAATGTCATTTTGTCCTCTGAAGGGCATGACTGTTCTTAGCCCATTCTCCTTCTGTTGCTTTCTACTTTTCTCGTCACTGCAGCTGGCATTTAACCAAGATGCTGTTTCTGAATTGTCCCTTTCTTCCTTCCCCATGCTCCTTCTTTTCCCCTTCATTCTTTCTTCTGTCAACATCTCAGTATTGTCTGTGAGATGATTGATGATGGTACAGAGGATGCTTATTGATCCTTCAGCAAGGCGGGGTGAATGCTTCCATGCACTTTTTTTAAGAAGGGGATATATGTTGGCATTTTAGTGATGTTGTAATGTTCTTTGCTGCAAATGTAGTTGTCTTCTCTAACACCTCCCTATACACGCCCCAAGCACTTGTCACCCTAGTCACCAGCTTCACCACCTTCTGCCCAATATGATAGTTGTACATTACATGACCATAACCAAGGCTATTGTATTCAAAAAGTGAGTTGGATTGATGTTTCTAGATGGACAGAACTTAATTCTGTCTGTCTTGCCTGTATAACTTCTGTGCACTCTCTCTGATTTCCTGTTATTGCAGGAAAGTGTGATCCAAAGCAGCACTGTGGGGGAACAATTGAGTTATTTCTAAAATAGCAAAATCTTTCTGTTTATGACACCCTATTTTCCCCTTTCCAATGTTACTAAGAAATTCCTGACAATGAAAGTATATGCAGAAATTAATTATATTAAAAAAAAAAAAAATCAACAAACAAACCAACCATAAACTAGGTAGTGACCAAGTAGCCTTCAACCCTTCTTAGTCCTTCCTGCCAACACTACTGTAGATTTGCACCATGAAGATGGGGCTGTGAAATAGCTCTCCATCAGCAGTAGCTGCACGGGTGGGTTTTTTTTAAATAGAATATGTTGGTTCTTACTGCCCTTAACTTGTTTTTTTGTATGCTCTAGCCATGGAGAACCAATCTTAGTTTGTTCAATACCACTAAGATTAAGGAGGAATCATACCTGACTGCAGTGGTGGCAGTATCAGAAATACCTCTCAGCTCTGTAACAGCTTCGGGTCTCCCATGCTGTCTTTTTACACAGAGGCAGCTGTTCCTTATCAGGAAATAAGGAATTGAATAATAAGGAAAGAACCCTCCTCTTGAATAAAATGGCACACTAGATTAAAAAGCAATTTTTGAAGAAAACTTAGTTCCATGTGTATAACAATTGAACTATCTGCAATCTAACAATTATTTTCTCTGCAGCCTCCTTGCTTTGTGTGTATGTGGGACTGGGGCGTGGTGTAACGTGACATGATGTTAACCTTGAATTCTTCTCTCTCTGATTATATCTAGCCAGATGTCTATATTGCATATGTTTCTGCCTTTAATTTCTGTGGGTTGTCTGAGGGTTTGGGGGTCATCGTAGGAGTCCTTATCCTAGGTACACAGAGATACATGGAGTGACAAGCTTGTGAGTCATTTGGGATGTGTACATGTACAGAGATACTGTAGCTTCCTCATACCAGCAATATACTTACCACAGTTTGGGAATCACTGATCTATGAAATGC